CCTGGTGAAGATTGTGAAACACCTTCGGCAGGGGCTGCGGCAGTACCGTCAAAGGTAAACTGCGTTTCTCCACTGTCGCCTTGCATCTTTGCGATGTTGGCGCTGATCGGACTTCACGATCGTTCGCACCCAGCGTTGGCTAACAGCACGCAGGTACTCTGCTCCCGATGGGAGTTAGAGCCCTTACGGCTGATAACCTGTGAACAGATGAGTCCCTGTTCCAGACCTATTATGTTGGATTCAGAGCGTCCCGCGTTTCAGCTGTTTGCCAACGTTTCAACCGGCATGCAGAGGCAGCGCAGCGACCCATTTTCCTTTTGAGGGGGCTTGAGCCATGAAGTACATGGCGGTGCATATCATCATCACATGCGCAATTGTATGCAACTATATACATGTGTGATTCTGGTATAGTCCCCATTCGCATGTTAATATATAGAGATGGATGTATGAGTGTTAAGATAAGAGGTTCAATTCAAGTCACAGTCAGGAGTCAGGACCCTAAACCCAAAAAGAACATGGAAAGGAGCGCAAGGGCCATCCCATTATATCATATTGTAATACTGTGCTTGTCCCATCCCAGAAACGTTCGCCGCCTGCCAGGTCCGCCCGTTTATACTTTTTTTGGGGAGATGGCAAACCACCTTGGTTGGGGGGGCCCAAAGCACACAGCCCTCATGACATGTTTATACATGCTGGTTTCGACTCACATCATTTCCTTTTTTTCCGGTTCACATGGAAATGGGACTTCGCCACACCACCCCATCAACACATGCACGCACGATATAAGGTATACGTGTCCAGGCTCCTCCTCAGGTCTTATGACTTTCAATGGAAGTGATGGTGTACCATGGCCTTGCCATCAGCCATGGTACATCTATTGTCACTTCCTCCCAAATACATGGTACGAACTTCACCCCTCCGTCGAATTGCTGAGGTGCCCACGGCAACAATGACTTCACTGTGACTGCGTAAACATGGGCCGGCCTGTGTGTAAAAGCATCTGTATGTAAAAGTGATTGTGTGTAAAAGCGCTTGTGTGTAAAACCGTTTGTGTGTAAAAGCGTTTGTGTGTCAAAGCTTCTGTGTGTAAACGCGTCTGCGTGTAAAAGCTTCTGCGTGTAAAAGCGTTTATGTGTAAAAGTGTTTGTGTGTAAAAGTGTTTGTATGTAAAAGTGTTTCTGTGTAAAAGTGCCTGCGTGTCAAAGCGTCTATGTGTTAAAGCTTCTGTGTGACTGTGTGTAAAAGCTTTTGTGTGTAAAAGCGACTGCGTGTAAATGCTTCTGTGTGTAAAAGCTCCTGTGTGTAAAAGACTCTTTGTTAAAAGTGTCTGTGTGTAAAAGTGTCTGTGTGTAAAAGCATCTGTGTAAAAGCGTATGTGTGTAAAAGCTTCTGTATGTAAAAGCTTCTGTGCGTAAAAGCTTTGTGTGTAAAAGGGTCTGTGTGTAAAAGCGTCTGTGTGTAAAAGTGTCTGTGTGTAAAAGCTTCTGTGCGTAGAAGCTTTTGCGTGTACAAGCGTCTGTGCGTAAAAGGGTCTGTGTGTGAAAGTGTCTGTCTGTAAAAGCTTTTGTGTGTGAAAGCTTTTGCGTGTAAAAGCTTCTGTGTGTAAAAGTGTTTGCGATGCAAACTATTGTCTTGCACTTCTGCTATTTTGTCTTAATACTCCTCTTCTCGACTGCCTATAACACATCTTTAATATATTGTTTGTAATATGTAGTGTCTCCATACTAACAAGAGAAGACCCTGCTCCTCTACGCTCTCGGGCCATCCGTCGTCTAGTTCCACAGTCTGGCCAGCGACCGCCCCTCACGAAAGTGAGCAAGAAAACTGAAGCATCAGTCATGTGAATACCGAGGAGCAACAACAATGTATTTCAATGTGAATCACATCCGAATACTTACAAGATCTTACCAGCAAACATACATCCTTGCAGCATTGCATACAAAAAAAAATCAGCGCATACGGAAGTTCAGGTCCACAAGCACCGCTTGCGTAGCTCTTCGGCTGATCAGGATGTGCTGAGGCCCGGGCAACCATAGGCAAACGCAAAAGTTGCCCTTGGCTTGACAATTTCAAGAGGAAGTGGAAGCTCTAGAATGGAGACAGACCACACGAAACCGAACAAGCATCCTGAAAGCCACCACACAGCTGCTAGATATGCGTCGTGTTTTTTTGCCGTCTCACGTCTACATACTCATCGGCTACCATACCGAATGCAAGAAAAAAACATAGTACATGATTGCTTTGCCATGATGGTACCATTCCCAATGCTGCTGCAAGCCATCAGCTCCTCGATGAAAAACAACTGCCTGAGTTATGTTCCAGGCCCCACCAGACGTGCTCAACGCCAACAGAAGCAATGCAGTAGACAGGAGAAGTTGAGCAGATACTGTGAGCTTGTCAATGGCCCGAAGACTGCGCCAGTCTGAAAGAGCCTCCTGTACCACAGTAACGAGCACAGAAGCTGCCAAAGCGCCACCAATGACCGGAGTCGCAGCAGCTGCCAGCAGAGTGGCAAGTTTGAGGAACACCACGGGGGCCAAAGACCAAGCTTGGCTGACAGCCAGTTCTGTCACTCGCAGGAAGAGGTTCCCAAAGAAGTCGAACGGAACAGTTAGCCGCCCATACGACAACAAACAAAACCAATAAAGACTTCTGGCGAAAATGCACAGCCGCTTCCGGTTTCGAAATTCAAGCTGCTGATGTGGCGCAGGTGCAGGTAGAACATCGGAATCTCCATGCAATCCTTTGGTCAGCAAAGGCTGCGACGCAGCTATGCCCTCAACTGCCCCGTATGGCACGTTTAATATTTTGCAATAGTAGTTCACAAGGGATAGGACCAAGTTGTTCATCTTCACATGACTAAAGTATAGCAGCAAAAGCGCCGCACCCAAGGCTGTCAAAGTTGCGAAAGGCTGCAGTTGGTAATAGCAAGCACCATTACCTTCAGGCACCCTGGAGACAAAGACGTGGGTCACAGCAGCTGCCCAGTATAAGGCTGCAAAGGATGTCAGCAACTGAAAAGCCCATGAAAGCACCCCGATCACTAGTGTAAAGTCTTCTGCTACATCTGCCAGCAAAGCCCAGTCATGGGCAAGTTTCATCAGAGTCCACATGACGAGGACAAAAAGGTAGACAGTAATGGCACAGCCCTTGTCCCGATTATCCTCAATCTGCTTCCGGACGTTGTCTGTTTCGCACACAAGCTCGTTGACGTGGGCCGGGTTGGGAAACTCTTTGGTATCAGATGCTGACCAAATCGAATCGAGGATAGGCGGATAGGTTTGCATGAGCCCCCACCAAGTGCCTTGGGGATGTAGAGCCGAGAAGTTGCCACCATTCTCAACAGATATAAAGGCTGGGAAGTCCCAAGACGGAAAACTTGAGTTGAGCTGTAAGTTTGCAATGGTTTGAGCCATTGCTTCGGTCGTAAAAAGTTGAATGTTGTAGCATGGCTTGCTGCAGGCGTGAAGATCTGTCATTGGGTCCAGCTTGTAGGTCACCACAGCAAGGAAAGGAGCCCATCCGAGGCAAATAAGAACCAAACATTCGATGTACCGCGGCAAGCCCATCGCGCAAGCGGTGCGGTACAGACTATGGATCTATGGAATGAGGAACGCGATGCTCGAAGCACAGAAACTGTGAGCTATAATTGAGCAGCATTGGCGATGGTGATTAACAGGCGCGTGGTGAACATGATCGTCTTCTATGTCATGAAAAATGTCTGAAACAGTCAACACGGGTCAATGGGCAGCTTGACCTCGAAAATCAGATCAGCAACCAACAGCACGCGTCACAAATGGATGCTAAGCCTTTCATCTCATGCCTTTGACATCAGATTGAAACGCTAAATCCAAGGAGATTTCAACATGGTCAATCTGTCAATCCAACATGTTCAAGTCATCAGCTCCCCAAAGATACACTCCCAAGGTCCTCAATCAAACAAGTGGCAGATGGCATCAAGCTCCCATCTCGACAAGCGTTGGCTCACTGAAAAGCACGAGGATGTTCTAGAATTTACTGGAATCTTTGGGTAGCCGTGGGCTCTAATGACCTGTTCATGTGGTAATTCTGGCTGTGCTCATATGGTGGGGTCTACGTACCTGGTTGTGGATTTGAAAGTATATGATGTCAAACAATGGTCCATTCATCACATGTAGGAATTTGACCATGTTTTTTTCATTTTGTTGGGACGCTGACTGCTTCCTGGTGCCAAAATTCAAGCATGGCAGGATTGCAGGATTGCAGTGTCAAAGATACTTTGGATTCCTTTGGATGTTAACATCCAGTGAAGAACTAATTAGGCCACCAATCGGTTGTTCCAGACACTTGCGTCCTTGTGCGAATGCTCTAAATGTGCCGGTCTGTCGTCTGTCGCTGCAAGAGTGTCAAAAGCGTTTGTCGGCGCCGCGCTGCCGCACCGGCACTTTTCTTGAAATCCCTAGGGTACTTCCGTGACCCCAACGGAAAAACAAATCAGCAATCTTTGCAATGGGTCCCTAGTATCTCTAGCATTATGACCCCGTGTAGAACAGAGAAAGTGGATTTCAGCAAAAAAATAAAAAAAAAAAAACACAAAAACAAAAACAAAAACAGAATCACCAAAAAAACAAAATCGACAGGAAGAATCACCAGAAGAAACAAAAAAAACAAGAAAAAAAACAAAACCTGCATTTTCCGCAGTTTTTGTTTTTTTTTATTTGTGTTTGTTTTATTCTTGTTTTTTTTGTTTTTGTCTTGTTTTTTCCTTGGTTTTGGTTTTCTAGTTTGTTTTTTTTGTTTGCTCTGGTTTTGTTTTTGTTTTTTTGTTTTTTATTTTTTTTGTCAAACCCTATATTCTCTGTGTTGTTGGACTCATAACTCTAGCAACGAAAGAAGAATTCACCAGTGGCATGCATGGCATCTGGCTTAAATCTGGGTTTCACAGATGCAACAACACTCTTGGTATGTCGGACCAACATGACAATCCGTCATGACATTTGTCAGGGCATGAAGAATTGGGAAGAGGCGTCATGAATTATAGTCTAATAGACATCACACCTGGGAAGGAAGGAAAGTAAAGCCAGCCTTAGTTCCAAAGAAATTTCCGTGGAACAAACACACAAACAACAACCAGAAAGACTGCCTCCACAGCACAGGACAAGGAATCGGACAGTCCCACGCCACCCCTGTCCCTCACCCACACTCCGAGATTCGAACACCCTACTGCAGCCACTACTTGCCAGACCCCACTTCTCACTTCGAATGGGTGAACTTAGCCGACTTAGCCTCTCGGAATGACATTCTACAATCAGACAATCAGCACCAAGGACCAGCAAAGCTGTTCACTACACTCAGAAGGACATGGAAAAGACTCTATCATCAAGAAACATGAGTAACAGAAATGCCATATCATGACATGCTATAACAGGACTCATTCTATGGCTGGAACAATCAGTTTGAAGATGTTCTTTGCCTTTGGAATGAAAACTTGCCGGTGACACTTGGCAGGGTCGTTCTCAGAGTCATTGACAGACTCGTTGTCATACTGATCCAAGTGCTCCAAAGCCCATGTTGCCCGTTCCGGCATCGGCGCCATGGCCATGCATTGAGGATTCATATGATTCATTGTCAATCTCATTCATCGTGTCATTGCCACTTTCTCCACTTTCTCCACTTTCTCCACTTTCTCCACTTTCTCCACTTTCTTCAGTCTCCATGTTCAGCAAAGAACCGTTCCACTCCGTCATATTTGCCCTTGCGGACATGTTCTCGGCTTTGTCCATCATCTCCACTGCCAAACTCCAGGTTCCATTGCTGAGGTTGCTGTTATTGAGATCTGGCTCCAAAATGTCCCGGTCCTTGAATCCATCAGCAAAACCTCTTTGCTATGCACACCGGTTGAAACATTTAAACATTTCTCCATTTCACTGCCAATGCTCATGAATATATATGAATATCTTGTCATCATTCTTTAAGATCATTTAGTGGCCAATTATTTCGTAGCATACTTGGTGGTTTGTTGGTTAGAGATTTGACTGGTGTGAGTCCACAAATAGCTTGGGATCCGACTGAAAGCACAGCAAAGCACGGCAACAATAGGGTGAATGGACATCGGGGCAAATCTCTTGCACCTCAGCTAACAATCCAAAGAGCAAAACAACTCTGAAGCAGAAATGATGAAGTCCGAAGTTCTGAATAAGGACTTGGATGACATTTTGGAACAGTATGCCGGAATATAAATGGCATGACAAATGCAGGTATGGTTTATGGCAATTTCTGGGGCGACGAGCTGGTCCGGCAACGTGCTTGATGTTGTGACAGCAGCGATCTCTGAGCTAACCACTCTCATTCTGCCTGCTCAGGATACAGCTGGGCAATGTCCACTGAACACCTTGGAAAATATTGGAAGGCACCGAGAGGAACTTGGTGAAGTTGTGTGGAACACTCAAATTTTGTATCTGCTTCCAATAAAATCAATAAAACAATGGTAGATAGCTGAATTGTGTCATCCAAAAACTCTGCAAGTCCACCCTTTGCCTCTTTCATCCTAACACCTAAGTTCCTTTCAAAAGACTGTCTGTTTGAAACACTCTGAATCTGGATTGTTGGGACAAGTATATAGCACCCTGTATATACATAGAGACTCTATGACTCTATGTGGATGTGTGCAGGCCTGTTACAAATAGAGGATGATAGAGGCAGCAACATTCGGTTGAAGCTGACTGGAGTCAATTCACATCTGCTGAAAAAAATACTTAGTCAGTCGTTAAAACGACAGTCGCATCTCTCGCTACATCCCAAACTTACTCAAACACCAGGTTTGGATCAGAACCTTTTCTTCCTCAGGCACACAGTTTTCCACACACGCAGTGCGTCTGGTCCATATGAAAGTCAAACGTGAGGGACATGTGGAATGATACTTTCCAAATTGTTGCACTTTGCTTAGGAACTGTACAGGCACCATGCCCACCATTGCTGCCTGTCATGCCGCCATTTCAGCGATCATACTCATCGGCTACCATACCGAATGCAAGAAAAAAACATAGTACATGATTGCTTTGCCATGATGGTACCATTCCCAATGCTGCTGCAAGCCATCAGCTCCTCGATGAAAAACAACTGCCTGAGTTATGTTCCAGGCCCCACCAGACGTGCTCAACGCCAACAGAAGCAATGCAGTAGACAGGAGAAGTTGAGCAGATACTGTGAGCTTGTCAATGGCCCGAAGACTGCGCCAGTCTGAAAGAGCCTCCTGTACCACAGTAACGAGCACAGAAGCTGCCAAAGCGCCACCAATGACCGGAGTCGCAGCAGCTGCCAGCAGAGTGGCAAGTTTGAGGAACACCACGGGGGCCAAAGACCAAGCTTGGCTGACAGCCAGTTCTGTCACTCGCAGGAAGAGGTTCCCAAAGAAGTCGAACGGAACAGTTAGCCGCCCATACGACAACAAACAAAACCAATAAAGACTTCTGGCGAAAATGCACAGCCGCTTCCGGTTTCGAAATTCAAGCTGCTGATGTGGCGCAGGTGCAGGTAGAACATCGGAATCTCCATGCAATCCTTTGGTCAGCAAAGGCTGCGACGCAGCTATGCCCTCAACTGCCCCGTATGGCACGTTTAATATTTTGCAATAGTAGTTCACAAGGGATAGGACCAAGTTGTTCATCTTCACATGACTAAAGTATAGCAGCAAAAGCGCCGCACCCAAGGCCGTCAAAGTTGCGAAAGGCTGCAGTTGGTAATAGCAAGCACCATTACCTTCAGGCACCCTGGAGACAAAGACGTGGGTCACAGCAGCTGCCCAGTATAAGGCTGCAAAGGATGTCAGCAACTGAAAAGCCCATGAAAGCACCCCGATCACTAGTGTAAAGTGTTCTGCTACATCTGCCAGCAAAGCCCAGTCATGGGCAAGTTTCATCAGAGTCCACATGACGAGGACAAAAAGGTAGACAGTAATGGCACGGCCCTTGTCCCGATTATCCTCAATCTGCTTCCGGACGTTGTCTGTTTCGCACACAAGCTCGTTGACGTGCGCCGGGTTGGGAAACTCTTTGTTATCAGATGCTGACCAAATCGAATCGAGGATAGGCGGATAGGTTTGCATGAGCCCCCACCAAGTGCCTTGGGGATGTAGAGCCGAGAAGTTGCCACCATTCTCAACAGATATAAGGGCTGGAGACCTCGACAGAAAACTTGAGTTGAGTTGTAAGTTTGCAATGGTTTGAGCCATTGCTTCGGTCGTAAAATATTGAATGTTGTAGCATGGCTTGCTGCAGGCGTGAAGATCTGTCATTGGGTCCAGCTTGTAGGTCACCACAGCAAGGAAAGGAGCCCATCCGAGGCAAATAAGAACCAAACATTCGATGTACCGCGACAAGCCCATCGCGCAAGCGGTGCGGTACAGACTATGGATCTATGGAATGAGGAATGCGATGCTCGAAGCACAGAAACTGTGAGCTATAATTGAGCAGCATTGGCGATGGTGATTAACAGGCGCGTGGTGAACATGATCGTCTTCTATGTCATGAAAAATGTCTGAAGCACTCAACACGGGTCAATGGGCAGCTTGACCCCGAAAATCAGATCAGCAACCAACAGCAAGTGTCACAAATGGATGCTAAGCCTTTCATCACAGGCCTTTGACATCAGTTTGAAACGCCAAATCATTTGAATCCAAGGAGATTTCAACATGGTCAATCTGTCAATCCAACATGTTCAAGTCATCAGCTCCCCAAAGATACACTCCCAAGGTCCTCAATCAAACAAGTGGCAGATGGCATCAAGCTCCCATCTCGACAAGCGTTGGCTCACTGAAAAGCACGAGGATGTTCTAGAATTTACTGGAATCTTTGGGTAGCCGTGGGCTCTAATGACCTGTTCATGTGGTAATTCTGGCTGTGCTCATATGGTGGGGTCTACGTACCTGGTTGTGGATTTGAAAGTATATGTCAAACAATGGTCTATTCATCACATGTAGGAATTTGACCGTGTTTTTTTCATTTTGTTGGGACGCTGACTGCTTCCTGGTGCCAAAATTCAAGCATTGCAGGATTGCAGGAGCGCATGTTTGTGAAAGAATCTTTGGGTACTCTCCAATTCCAGGAATTTCTTTGATTTCACTCACATCATCACATGCTGAAGGGAACTACCTACTTCGGATGCTAGATTCCACCAAAGGACTAGGCCACCCACAGGCCGTTCGAAACACTTCCGTCCTTGTGTCAATGCCCCAAATGCGCCAGTCTGTCGCCGCAAGAATGCGCACTGTTTCCCAATATTTTTCTTGAAATCCCTATAGGGTACTGTCGCGACCCCAATAACGACAAGAAGTTCAGAATTCTCTGAACTGGGTGCCTCATATCTCCATCAAGCAAAACTTCACAAATCGCATGCACGATCTGGCTCAAACCTACTCTTCAAAGATGCAATAACATTCCAGATGGACTTGCCCCGCCCATTTTGTCACTTTTTTGTCAGCGCGAAGTCGATCTTGTCCGTTGGCAAATCCAAGGAATGGCAAAGATCACAGTCACTCTTCAGATTCTAAAGATTCTAAATTGCTTCGAATGGGATCCAGATAAAGTGAACGCTCTGATGATTTTGATTTTTCCAAGATTAGTTATGCGAAACGATTTGCAGTAAGACTGGGTGCTGGAGATTGTTGTATTGACAGATCCCTTGCAGCTTCTGGTTTCTATCAATCAACTAGACGACGGATGGCCCGAGAGCGTAGAGGAGCAGGGTCTTCTGTTGTTAGTATTGAGACACTATATTACAAGACAATATAGTAAAGATGTATTATAGGCAGACGAGAAGAGTAGTATCAAGACAATATATTGCAAGTACAAGACAATAGTTTGCATCGTATCCTTCGTATAGCTTTCTCACACAGAACCTTTCACACACAGACGCTTTTGCACACAGAAGCTTTTACACACAGAGACTTTTACACACAGACGCTTTTACACACAGACGTTTTTACACACAGAAGTTTTTACACACAGAAGTTTTTACACACAGACACTTTTACACACGGAAGCTTTTAAGCACAGACGCTTTTACACACAGAGGCTTTTACACACAGACGCTTTTACACACAGAAGCTTTTACACGCAGACCCTTTTGCACACAGAAACTTTTACACACAAACACTTTCACACACAGAGACTTTTACACACAAACACTTTCACACACAGAGGCTTTTACACACAGACGCTTTTACACACTTACACACAAACGCTTTTACACGGAGAAGCTTTTACACACAGAAGCTTTTACACACAGACACTTTTACACTCAGAAGAGCGAAGAGCGTAGAAGAGCATGCTACTCTCTTGTAAGTAGTATGAAAGACATTGTAGGTGAAAGCTTCATTGAAGATGATGCAGATGATCAGCAGAAAGGAGATAGAAATGCTATGTCAGATTTTAAGCAGAAGTAGACAAAGATAGACACAAAATTTGAGAGACTGACAGAGACAGACAGCAAAGAAACACATACACACACACAGACACACAAACAAAGACAGACACCACACGCACACACTTGCTCAGAACAATCTTTGCGAATTCTGATGTGGAATGCATCCTACGTGCAAAAACAATTCAGTTATACCTGACAGGAAAAGGTTGAAGATCAGATCCGAGAAGGATCGAGAAGAATGTATTTCAAAGCCACTGCTAGATGCAACATTTCCACCTGAACCAAGTCATTACCTCCCTGACATCAAGTTTGGTTTGAAAATTGCTTGAAAAACGACATGCCGGTTCTTGGCTTGGCCGGTTGCCATCGACGATAAATTGGAAAATTGCAGGTACACGGAGGTGATCAATCTCCGCTTCCCCCATTGTGGGATAGCTTCGTTGGCACAGGTATCCACAATGGGCCTGTGCCCCCTGCAGATGGTTCACACACACGCCCTGCTGCCGCAGGGCTTTTTTGGAAGACGCACCAATCTCGTGAAACAAAGCTCTGATATGGTCTACTGGTCACGGATAAAGTATCAAAATGCCAGAGACAAAATGAATTACCGAGAGTTGAGTACATCAAAGAATCAGAAGCCAAGGGCGAGAATGGCCAGGATCTAGTCCGAAATGTCGGAGATGTCCTCGAGGTTGCCCGCTTGAACATGTTGGGCCAGAGTGTTCGCCATGATAGCGGGATGGCTCATGAAAGGTGGGATAGGTCTTATGCTGACCATACCTGAATGGGATTGGCATTTGGATCCGCTGGGGCAGTTTCAATCTTCTCAAGGATCGGAGCATTGAATTCACGATCCGCGATCAGCACGTTGTAAAGGACAGTAGCCAGTTGGTTGATCTGGCTTGGAACGGCCAGGTGGCCTGTTTCGACTGTCACCGAGGTGTCGTCTGCCAGGTCTGAGATTTCTGCATCCTCACCACCTAAGGTAGCATTGTCAGGCGATCCAAGGGATTGATGGTCTTGAGGATGCCAGGCAGACTGATCCTCTTGAGAATACCAGGTGGATTGATCCTCATAGACCTGGTCAATATTGTAAAACCGGCGCCAGTAATTTGATAAGCGGGTGGCTTCGGCCCAACTGTCTACATAGCCGCCTCCCCGTGGTCGTACATGACCAATCATTCCATTGAAGAAAAATTCCGGTTGACGGTTGCGTTCCGTTCCTTGATTGTCAACCTCCGTGATCATCAATCTTCGCACTGGAGTGCCGGTTTGGTACGTAGTGACTTCTTTGAATATATATGTGTATGAAGTACACGGTGATGTTGAGACATCTCGGATTGAAGCGGATATGCTTTTTGTTGGTGTCGTAGATGTACCTGGCAAACGAATCAGCAGCTGAAGAGGACGCAGCTTCGGAGGCGTGACGATGGCGAAAACGATTCATGGGCTGTGACCAAGAATCAAACCGGAGGTTCCGTGGGGAATCTAAATCGGCAGAGGCGGAGTCCCTCTTTGTCATATTTCATTCTGGAGCCAAACACATAAGAGATAGTGGAGAGTAAAAGAGAAAATTATTGAGGAGATGTCAAGAGCCAACACTGTCAAGTAAAATTATAATTCACGAAAGAGAGTGATGCCGCACAAATGTTTTAATCCTGGGAGCGATCAAGGTAGCATGTTTGGATTTGGGAGAGCCTTATGGCAGCTGAGACGCATGATACTGTATATGGTTGACCCGGACTATTGAAGTCAGCTAATCGATTGAAGATACCTACTTCCTGAGCCTCAGTCCAATGTGGGCGATGTTCACGGAGAAGGCGGATGATGAGTTGTTGAACACGAAGAGCAAAGGTGTCGCCAGTGCAATCGCTCCATTGAAGACCCAAGGAGTTTGGTTCCAGATATGTTCCCGAAGTGTTGGTGATATGCTGGCTGATGTAGAGGAGAATATTCTCGATTGACGTGATTTGAATTTGACCAGCGGTCAGTAGGAAGCTGTAAGTGAACAGTGCCATCTCTTCACTCGGAGAAAGGTTGGGAAGGTGTTCACAGGTTGTTGCTTGCATCACGTCACTGAAGCGTTCAGTCATCAGGTTTCGAATTGGATCAAGGTCTATGATGATCAATACCGTCTGGTCCTCCGTAGTGCCGGGGTATAGTTCCAGGACCTCTGATGTGTCGGGTCATGAGGTCGCTCTGGATTAGGATGACCCCACATAGGCGGATCATCACGAGAATGGGACCAATCAGGAGTCATGGAGATATAGCTACGCTGATGAGCCATGCTGAAAAATAAAACAAAAAGGAAGGTGAAAACACGGTAAACTAGGAAAGATGACCATCAACAACAATGAAACGGTACAGCAATAATCGTTTTTTATGCCTGGGTGATTAGTCCTCTGCCTCCGGTTCATGACAACCGCATGTTCGGGCATCTGATTTAGAAGGCCCCAGCGGATCCGACAAACCTCTGGATCACGACGAAGTCTGAGACCGATCGTCTTCCATGACGGGCGGGATTTGGTGTCATACTTCATGTTGCAAAGTTCTTGATCTTCAGCATCTGTCCAGGGTCGGATGTTGGCAGGAGGAATGTCCGACGTGATGGAGGGAACCCTGAATGTGATGGCTTTGGAGCTTGATTTGGCCACACTAGGAGGAGGATTTGGAACTGGATTTGGAGGTTGAGGAGGATGATTGACAGGTGCAGTTGAATGGGTTACTGGTGTTGCCGCAGCAGGAGCTGAATTGGACGGAGAGCGGTCCCTGTCATTGGCGTCTTCAGAGTTATCAGAGTTGAACCCGTCTCGCGGAATATCACGGATGATCGGCAAAGAAGGTGGAGGTGCTGAGGATTCATTTGGAGTGACCGTTGTAGTGACAGTTGATCGTTGTTTCTTCTTTGGACGAGAGTCCCCCGCAGTGGTCGATTTTGACTTTGGATGTGACGTATCCCATCAGGGTCACGAGTAGTGGTATGAAGGAAGGTTTCTGAGGCAGGTGTACGTATGCTAGACGAAGAAGTATGTCCAGCTTGTGGTGGGTAGTTGGCTGAGTGGTGGTCTGATAATGGATTGCCCTCTCGAAGAATGGAAAGGGGTCGTAGATTGGGTTCTGGATTCAGAACCATATGTGACGGCATGCCTCCATGAGAAACCAGAGTGGGAACTGATGAGGACGATGGGATGGGCACGAAGGTATGAAGGTGCCGAGCTTGGGGAGGTACCCGGTTGGCACGTCCATAGAGATCCTGAGGATGATCGTCCCAGTCCACTGATGGTTCGAAGAAAGGGAGGACACCAGCAATGTAATTCATATGCATAACGGCCCGAGCCAAATGGTAGTGGATTTCACGGCCATGGGGATTTTCCATGTTGTGTTGTTCCACTGGAAATTGAATCGAAATGCAAGGAAAATAGGGTCCGAGTTTGAGCCAAACTGACGGTAAGAAAAGTGATGAGAAACAAGAAAAAACAAGTAAAACAACAACCGGGAGAGCCACAAGAGGCGAAGAAACTAACGAGACAAAGAAGCCTTGCTTTCATGCGGCTGAAGGTTCTGATGCTGAGTTAAAATCTGAGTTGAAATCATTTGGAGTTCCTCATTGGGAAACCCCGCCAAGGTATAGAGATGAATTAGTTGATCAAGACCTTGTCGAACACGAAATTCAGGAAAAGCACCCTTGACCACAATATGGCAGCGAGATCTAAAACCGCTCAGGAAAACTTTCGGTGGTGAGGCTGAGTATGGCGACAGGACTTGGGAAATGTTGGTTGGACCTGTGTAGATGAGCTCCAAAGGTTGGGTTTCAAGCATGAAACCGAGAAATTCTTGGTCTGGTTCAGTTTCAAGGATGATGGGTTTTCCATAGAAGCCTTCATCGAGAAGGACTTCGTATGGGGGAAGTTGCCTGAGACGAGAGTCTCCGAAAATGAGGCGATTGTCGACGTATCGAATGTGTTTGATAAAAAGGTGATGGTTGGAAAGGATTTGTTTGAAGTTGATGGACCATATCTGTTCACTGATGGAGACGACCATGAGACAGAGGGCTGGGGATAGAGGACTTCCCATGCGACTGCCTCGACATTGGCGGATGCACCGATGCCCTAAGGCGAACGTTTGCATGTTGAGTGCTGTAGTATGTAATCCGGGGACATCCTTGATGGTGATTTTTCGGGTGACGTTGAGTCGACGAAATGTGCGACCCTTGATGGTGTCACCCGGATTGTTGGATTTTCCAGGGTAGACTGAGAAGACCTCATGGTTGGAGACGTCCATTTTGGGCCGGAGGAAGTCTAAGAGCATGAACCAGGCTCCGATGAAGCGCTCTTGGTCAATGCTGGTGAAGAATCCAGCTAGATCTTGATTGACCAAGATCAAATTGGCGTCAACTGGTGCAGATCGAAGAATCTCCAGAAGTGTGTAGACATCACCGGAAGCGAAGTGGTCTGGACAAGCCACTGGGATGAGTTGAAAGATCATCCTGGCCAAGATGTTTAGCATAGGTCGAAATGGAGAATCAACAAATGATATGATGGGTCTACCACTCTGGAACGCCTTCTTTCGCTTTGCCAGAATGTATCCTGCTGGGAGTTGTCGACCAGGACCCACTGCCCATGGGTATGCTTTGCTGTGTTGTTGTTGTTGTTGTTGTTGTTGAAGAAGGTCAACAAGGGCTGTGACAATCGTCGCTGGATCTTGGGAGACAGGTTCAAAGATGGACGGATCTTGAAAGTTATTGTCAATGGCCTGATAATAGAGACAAGGACAATAGATCCGTAGAGATGAGGCTTGCTTGTCTTCACAATGGCAGATCGCACCTTCAAATGTCTGTTGGAAGGTGGTGATTGAGGACTTTGTGAGGTGACACGTGACATGCCTGGAATGTTCAGTCCACAATTCGTGACACAAGTCGGAGATGTCCTGATTTGGCATAGAGGGAAAGCCGCTTCGCTTTGTCCAACTGTGCAGACCGGTCTTCAACTGGGTATGGTATTCCTTTTTGGATGGGAATACCTTGTTTAGCAAGGATCCTTCAGCGATGATTGCAAGGTCAGCTGGAAGCAGCGAGTGAAGGAGAGATCCTGCCAGAACCCAGAGAGGATCGGACGGATGAGAGCTGCTTCCTTGAATTTCAGCCAGTGTTTGCAGCAGCACTGGCATCTCGACCACTTGACCAGGCAGCGATGGCCTGTTTGTGGTTACAGAGTTGGTCGAGTACAGCTGCATGTTTGATAAAGACCATTTTGATCCATTTTGAAGGATGGGTTGTGACATGGGACTTGGTATGATAACACCTCGAGGTGCCACTTCCGAAGGAATTGTTTCAAGTGGCGTTGAAGGTTTGGAGTAAGTGACCAAGGTGAGCGCAAGGCTGGGGCACGTCGTGCCGGTTTTCCTTGCCACCATTTGATTGAGGTGTCTATTGCTTGAAGAGACAGTGTACGAAACGGTTCTTGGACGTTGTTGGCGAGACGTCGAAGGGCATAGCACAAGGTGAGACCTCCTTCGTGGGACCGGAGCATCTTGGTTTGTTCAAACCTCGCTTTGGTGTTTACCTAAAGCGTGGATGATGGTCCAGGGCTCCAGACGGTTCTGGAATCGGTCTGAGGCTGAGATTTCCTTGACCAATTGTGGAGTGAACTTGTGTTTTGCTCGGCGCCATAATGTTGCCAGGCCGAACTGTGCATTTGTATTCAGGGCAGGCTTTTTAAGAATGCCCTTTCTTGGATGGAAAAACTGGCAAATGAATGGGTAATTCAGGCGAGGCTGCCATTCTTGAATGAGGGCCAGTTCAAGGCATCGGTAGTCAGCTCTCTCCGTGTAGATGGGAATGGGAGCCCAGATATATAGGTTGTCATGCTCCTGCCAGTAGCGAAGAGCTAGTTCAGCTTGTACAAATCGTTCGTTGTTGAGTTGAAGATATTTTCTGGAACGACTGTACTCCCGATCAAGGGTGTGATGCATGGCGGACCCAACATAAAACTTGGGCTGCATGTTCATGATATGAGTGAAACGGATGTAAACACTCTGGGATTGGAAAAATGGTTGGGAAAAAAGGTTGTGAGCGTGGAGGTTGGATCCCCAGAGATGGGTGAGATTGGCGCATCCTTCCAAAATTGGCCTCAGCTTCTGATTGGGTCGAAGACCATGGATTACGGCAAGCACCATCATTCGGGTTTGGATGACGCGAATGCCTTGAAAAAGATGGATGCTGTAAGTCATGGTGAAGGGTGTCAAAATATAGATGATCAGGATCATCGAGTGAAGAATGTGCAAATGGGATTGAAGCACCTTGTGCTTGAGCTTTCGTCGAAGCTGGGGAGCTAATCAATTGGTGAGGCTGATGGCGGCCGTCATGGCACGAAGAAGGTGAAGTACCTCATAATTCTTGCACAAAAGACTGACTGGGATGCCCATCATGACAGCCACACGTTCGACGGTTTCAAGGGCTTCCGCAGGTCGGCGTGACCACCAATTCTCTGTCTTGGTGATGTTGTCGGTGAGAAACTTGCGCTTTGGTTCTGATATTGGTAGGTCTTTGAGCCATTTGTTAAAGGCTCTGACTGCCAAGGTGGGCGGCATGTGTTCAGCAAGCCATGGATTGACAGTAGTAGGACCAACCAAGAGGCAAGAGGGATCAAATGATGGTGGTGGTGGTGTTGGGTTGGTGGAATTGTTCATCAAAGCTCTTTGAATGGGTGTGGTGGCAGGGCTCGATGCTGAAGGGCCCGTTCTTGGAGGTGTGGTGGTGTCGCCAGGATCTTCGCCAGCACGTTGACGTAGTTCAGCCAATTCGTTTCTGAGTTTGTGATCTCATGCTGGGAATCTGATCAGTGGTGCGGGCCGGAAGCCAACTTTGAATGACTTCTGCTATCTGTTGAGCAGCGAATTTTGTGCTGGCTGTCTTGTCCAATAGTTTCCCATCCTGTCGAGTGACAGAGGGTCACATCCCTCGATGTCCAGCTTTTGGGTAAAAGCCGATTGTCGAATTGACCTAGGGAGAGTGAGGCCGTTGATTTTTTGATTGTCGTAGTGGTCCTGATCCTCTTGCCAGTGCGGGTTCAGGTCGAACCCATAGACACGGGTTGCCTCATTGTTCCCGTGCCGGGACGGTGGGTTTGAATGAGGAGTGGCATTGGAACGAGGTTGAGATGGAGAAATGGATGGTGCTTGGAGGCTCGGGGGCGGTTATAAGCATATAAGGGACATACTAGGTACATCCGGCACTTACTATTTGGATACAGCGCTTACAGTATGTCACTTAGTGGACTTACTGGGACAGCACTTAGCGCACTTACGTAAGTGGCTTACAGCACTTACCTAAGTCCGCGAGCACTTTTGTGTTTCCGCAAAACGCGATTTGGACTTTTGTGTTTCCACGAAATTCTTGCAACGGAATTTTGTGTTTCCACGAAAAACCCCATTCAGAATTTTGTGCTTCCACCAAATGTGAAACGGGACTTTGTGTTTCCGCAAATGTTTGTAAATGCACATAGCCTAGATACGTAAGTAGCGTAAGTCCTTTACAGGACTTAGGCCACTTAGGGCGTAATCTGCCTATCTCACTTAGCCCGCATAGGCCAAGTGGTTAGCCAAGTGCCATAAGTTGCGTAATCATTTATGGAACATAATATATACTTAGCCGAAAACAGTAACTACTTACGTAGGTGACTTAGAGACAGCAACCCGCTTAGCACCACTTATAAGATAACTTAGCACCACTTATAAGGTAGCTTACAGCACTTAGTAAGTAGGTTATATAAGTGCTCTAACCTTGCTATGTACTTATAACCGCCCCCGGCCCTCCAAGTGTGCCTGGAGAGCACGGCTGTGTTGGTGAGCATGGCATCGTGGGAGGGCAAGTGGGGCTGATTGAACGTGACGGATATGGAAGGGTGGGTGGCAAGGAACTGAGTGGAGACGGTGGAAACTGTTGAGATTGCCAGTTTTGTGGTGCAGACCGGAAACCGGCTGATCCATTTCAAGGGAAACCTCAACAAGTCTATGGAAAAATGACTGCACGGCTGTCTCAATCTGATCCATACAACATTTCATTTCTTTCTGATTTACCGATCTTTCGCCGATTCAGTGTCATTCTGCATTTCATGTCACTTGCTGCACAATTTTCATTGGATGCATGTGCTTTGTTCATGACACTACTTTGATGTTGCATCATTTTTACCACGGTTCCTGCTGTACTCCTTCTGTTTTATTCATTAGCGCTCTGCGGTTTGTGTGATTAGTCAACTGTGCCCTCACCATGGCGGAGTCTAATCGATCTCGATCTCGGGCGCCCTCGAGAAATCGACTCGAACCACGTGGACAAGCTCCTCCTCTTCCTCCGGATATACCATTCTTTCCTCGATGGTGTGAACCTATGAATGCGTCGGTTCGGCACTTTCAGAACATGTCACGCCCTCAGAACCGACCTACTTGGCCAATGAATCAGTCGGGACCTTATATGATGGGACAAATGAGTTGTTCGTTTCAGTGGATCTTGGGAGCCATGCTATGGGTCCTAAGTGCGTCGGTTGATACCTCGGTATGTCAGGTCATTACTGGAGGACCGGTCGTCATCATCATCGATCTGCAAATTTTGCCACTTTAAGGCAAAGAATTTCAGTCCAGCATGATTGCTCTGGGCAATCGTGTATTTCCCCGACGTCGTTGCTATGGCCCTGTCAGCTACTGAAATCTGGGCTGTTTCGTTGCAACCAGCTTTATATAGCTGATGTGAGCTTCGGATCCTCTGTACAGGGCTCCAATTAGCACAGCTTGTTGTCCTTTCCCTCGCTTCTGAGCACCCTCCATCAAATCTTGCAATGCCTAATCAGGAAATTGGTCCGTTTGAGTGATCTCACGGCCAATGTAAAATGCACCGAAGGTTGGTACGTCGGACTTAGAGAGATTTTTGTTGTAAGTCCAGTTGGCCGGGCGAATGAACCCTTCCAGCAAGATGTTGCATGCTGCTTGGATGGGGGTTCCATGGATCAAGGCCCATGGTGTGATGTTGAACCCCTTTGAACGGGGGTGGCATATCGAACCTGGAGATTTCCGGAAGTGGGAAAACCAGCGCCATTGGTATTCCTGAGTTCGACCACACGTGCCTTAGAGAGATCAAATTCTTGGAGCAATCGGGCACTGGAGATCAAGCTAATTGCCTGCTTGGCAATGTCCTCAGGGATTCTGCGATCGACAGATCGAAGGAAAGTCACTGCGTCTTGGAAGCGCTCGATGTCAATGCTGGAATTGGTTTTGGACGTTCTTCTTCCGGGAGTTCGGATGCAGCCTTCATCCGTTCAGGGTGGGCGAGGCCGAACTTGACCCATTTTATCCACTCAGCTTTGTTGCTGTCATGCAGAGAAATCTGCATGTGGCCAGCTGGCAACGACGACGATCCCTGGGAGTGGTCTCCCGTGTCTGATCTGGGATGCCGTTTCTTGGACCAGCGATGTGATTGAGCGGAACTGGAGAAGGCAGTCAGGGGCCTAGAATGAGGGGCCGCGGAAAGGCGGGCTGCAGGATGGTGTGAGTGGAAATGAGTAATGTCCCAGGCGGAGTGTTGGTGGAATGTAGGGTGGGCGTGGTCAGGTTGCCTGGGTGACCAGGAGGATTTGTCGTGGCTGGTGGGGGGCTTCCATTTGCCCCAGTCGTCCCAGTCTTGCCATTGTGATGGATCTTGTTGACGGTGTCCTCGATTGTAGTAGTCTTCCTTGGTGGTAGGTTGTTGCCAACGTGGTGGTTCACGTGGCGCAGGTGGACGGGAAGACATGTCTTGAGAGTAAACAGATCTGTCCTGATCTTGTTCATAATGTTGCTCACGACGAAGAGGGGATGCTGACTTCAGTGTGATAGATCTGCCACGGTCACGTCGATCACGAGATCGGTCACGATCACGTGGAGGTGAGAAGTCCCGTGAGGACTGACGACGGTGACGGGATGATATCCTGCGTCGTGGAGGACTGCGATGAATTGACACAGGCCGCTTGTCAATCTCTGGTGATACTGAACGACGGCGGATGGATCGGGATCGCCGTGAATGGTGGGAAGGTTGTGGAAAAGGAGGTGAAGATAAGTGGCGATGGTGACTGGAGCGTGATGGTTCTGGAATGGATGAAGGAGGAGGATGTGGAATGTGGTGAGCTGGACGTTCTTGAGACTTTTCCACCACATCGGCCAAGCTGTTTTCGAAGGCCGTCCTCATTTGTTGCAGCATCTCAGCGGGATTGAATGGTGTCTCTAGTGGACTTGGTGCAGACACCTGAGGGGACGGTGGTTCAGGTGCAGTTGGTGTTTGGGCTGATGATGAAGGTTGTACCGCTTGGGACTGTTGATACGATGGGTCACTGCCACAAAATTGTCCTGGAGGTACTGCTCATTTTGCTACGCTCAAAGATCTTCCCTTCGACTTTCCAACATTGCACCATCATTGGAGCTATTCTCCAAGATCTTCTTTTCAATTTTCTCCCGTTCTACCACCGTTGATGCTACGCCCCAAGAGCTTCCCCACGCTATGGACGACATGGGTGGCATATGGTTAGCCACATGGTTTCGTGAGGCATCCAACCTCCAAACTTGAAAAAAAAACGCCTTTCCAGCAAAACCGATTTTTTTCAAGATGCAAACTCTGCCATGTATTTCTACCAGCACGCAGCCACACGCTGCCACTCGCAGCCACTCGAGTGGCCGCAAATGGCTGCAAGTGGCCGCTCAAGTGGCCGCAAGTGGCCGCTCCAAGCGAGTGGCTGCAAGTGGCCTCTCCCAGTGAGTGGCCGCAAGTGCACATGGCCGCAAGTGGCCGCTCCAAGCGAGTGGCCGCAAGTGGCCTCTCCAAGCGAGTGGCCGCAAGTGGCCGCAAGTGGCCGCAAGTGGCCGCTCCCAGCGAGTGGCCGCAAGTGGCCGCAAGTGGCCGCTCCCCAGCGAGTGGCCGCAAGTGGCCGCAAGTGGCCGCTCCCAGCAAGTGGCCGCAAGTGGCCGCAAGTGGCCACTCCCAGCGAGTGGCCGCAAGTGGCCGCTTTCGGCGATTTCAATTTCCACACTCAAAGCAACCTCCCTGGAAACAATTGAAACAAGAGGATGCACACAGCAAGTCGGTCATTTTTCACGACAATGAGTCACGGCAGCATGTTAGGGTTAGGAAGGGCCTTATGGCAACTCATGCGCATAAGGTACGGTTGACTAGGGTTGTCAAAGTCTTTGATCGCATTCAGGATTCCGAATTCTTGGCCTTCAGTCCAATGAGGACGGTGTTCACGTAACAGATCAATGAGGATTTGATGATTGCGAAGCGCAAAGGTATCTCCTGTACAGTCAGACCAACGAAGATCCATAGAGGAAGGTTCCAAGTAGAAGCCCCAGGTGTTGTTGATATGCTGACTGATGTAGTAGAGGATGGTGTCAACAGTGAGGATCTGAGTCCGGGCTGGGGTTACCAAGAAGCTGTATGTGAACAGTGCGTACTGTTCAAGTCTGCCAAGAGAAGGCAAAGCGTCATAGGTGGTGGCCTGCATGACATCACTTTGACGTTCAGACATAAGATGTTGGACCTGTTCTAGGTTGATGGTTACCAAAACCCGTCTAGTGTGACGGAGCAATGGGGTGTAGTTCCACGATTCGGACGTGGATTGCGAGGTCGGTCTGGAGTCGGGTGGCTCCACATGGGCGGATCATCCCGAGAACGGGAACGATCAGGGGGCAAAGATACGTAACTAGATGGGTGAGCCATACAATGACTTGACATAGACAAACCAGTGGGGAAAAAAACAAAAAGTGAAGGAAAAGGAAGAAATGGACAACATGAATGATAAGAACTGATCAACAGATCCAAGTAGCAGCGAGACGAAGCTGCATCTTTTTTCCCGCAGTCGTTTATACCTCTGCCTCCGGTTCGTGCCGAGGCGTTTCCGTGCCATGTTGGTCGGACATTTGCTTCAAGATGTTCCAGCGGATTTTGCATATCTGTGGATCACGTCGTAACCTGGCACCGATCGACTTCCACGACGGGCGTGATTTACTGTCATTTTTGAGATTGATCAATTCTTGGTCTTCAGCTCCTGTCCAAGGTGGGATAGTCGAATGAGGGGTGCCCCGATCAGATTCTGTGGGTTGAAGGATTCGAATGGTAGGGTTTGGCGGAGGGCTTTTTGGAATGGCGATTGAAGTTGAATCTCCTGGGGTTGGTGAAATTGGGCGTTCAGCTGGTGTGGTGGAAGCGATGGTCATGGGGGCGGCATCCACTGCTGACGTAGTATGAACTGGGTGGACTCTGGAAACCACTTCTTCACCTGAATCATCTGAATTGAAGCCCTCATGAGGAACATCGTTAATAACCGGTAAAGAGATGGGTAGGGATGATGACGAATGTACCATAATGTCTCCCGAGCGTTGTTTCTTCTTCGGTTGTGGATCATCAGGATGGTTGGATCGTTGTTTTGATCGAACGGGTACAGCAGTTGTTGTCCGGGTCGCCACACGAGGAGTGTCAGGGTCCGGTAAACGTGGACCTGGAGCTGGTGGAGGGCTAGATTCGGAGACCGGATTGCGGAGTGCTGGGGCTATGGCGGGGGGAACTTCTTCGTCACGTGGACGGCTTGAGATTGAAAGAGGACGAAGATTTGGTTCAGGGTTCAAACTCATGTGGGTGGGAATGCCCCCATGAGATGCCATTGTTGGTACTGAGGAGGAGGAAGGCAGAGGAACAAATGTGTGAAGGTTTCGTTGGGCTGGATTTGATCGGCCGGTACGGGTATAGGGTACGCCCATTGGGTCATCCCAAATTGCCGGTTCAAAAAAGGAAGAAATCCCGCGAGGCAGTTCAAGTGCATGATGGCACGAGCAAGATGATGGTGAAATTCACGGCTTTGGGTGTGGTCCATGATGAAACGGAACATGTAGCGAAGGAAAGCGGAGAAGGGAGTTTGAGCCAGACTAAAAGAAGAAGAAACGAGAAAATTAGAACAACACTTCGAAAACCAAGGAAGCGAAGAGAATCACCCGTAAACCGTAGACATCAGACCGTTTTTGCTCATGCGTCTGAAGGTTCTGATGCTGAATCAAAATCTGAGATGAAATGGTGTGGAGTTCAAGTAAATTAATTGATCGAGCCCTTGTCGAACACGAAAGTCGGGAAATGCTCCTTTGACAACGATGTGGCAACGAGAACGAAGTCCGCTGAGAAGCACTTTGGGTGGAGAAGCCGAGAACGGAGACAAGACTTGTGATATGTTGGTGGGACCTTGATAGATCAGTTCCAATGGTTTTGTTTCCAACATGAAACCGAGGAATTCCTGATCTGGTTCGGTTTCCAGGATGATGGGTTTTCCATAGAAGCCTTCATCCAGCAGTACTTCATATGGTGGAAGATCTCGAAGACGCGAATCACCAAAGATGAGGCGGTTGTCAACATATCTGATATGTCGGATGAATAAGTGGTGATTGCAAAGAATGTTTAAAGTTGATGGACCAAATTTGTTCGCTGATGGAGACAACCATGAGGCAGAGTGCTGGAGAGAGTGGACTGCCCATTGCGGCTGCCTCCACACTGTCGAATGCATTTTTGGCCCAGAGCAAACGTCTGCATGTTCAACGATGACTTGAGTAAATCAGGGACATCTTTGATGATGATCTTCCTGGTGACGTTGAGTCTACGGAAGGTGCGGCCCTTGATGATGTCGCCTGGATTGTTAGTCTTTCCTGGATAGACCGAGAATACTTCGTAGTCAGAAACATCCATGTGGGGTCTCAGGAAGTCCGAGAGCATGAACCATGCACCGATGAAGCGATCTTGATCAATGCTGGTGAAGAAACCAGCAAGGTCTTGATTGACAAGAATGAGATCTGCGTCAACGGGTGCTCATTTGAGGATGGATAGGAGTGTGTATACATCCGCGGAAGCAAAGTGATTTGGACATGCCACTGGGATCAGTTGAAAGATCATTCTGGCGAGGATGTTGAGCATAGGACGAAACGGGGAGTCCACAAAGGAGATGATGGGTCGGCCACTGCGAAATTCTTTCTTCCTGTTTGCCAGGATATAACCAGCTGGCAATTGTCGTCCGTGTCCTACCGCCCAAGGGTAGGGTTTTCCATGTTGTCGATGTAGAAGATCGACAAGAGATGTGACAATGGGTTCAGGATCTTGGGAGACCGGTTCGAAAATGGAGGGATCCTGAAAGGTTTTTCAATTGCTTGATAGTACAAGCACGGGCAGTAAATTCGCAAAGAAGAGGCTTGTTTGTCTTCACAATGGAAGATAGCGCCCTCGAAGGTTTTTTGAAAGGAGTTGATGGATGATTTGGTGATGTGACAAGTGACGTGTTTGGAATGCTCTCTGTCCAAAGATGTTGGCTGAAATCGGAGATCTCTGAGTTTGGCATGGACGGTAGGCCATTTCGCTTTGTCCAGCCGTGAAGCCCAAGTCTGAGCTGGTTTTGGTATTCCTTTTTGGAAGGAAATACCTTTTGTTCAACAAGGAGCCATCGGACAGCCAACTCTTCTGGTACGAGTGAGTGAAGTAGTGAACCTGCTAAGACCCAGTGAGGATCTGATGGATTGAGAGCAGCTGTTTTGAAAGGTTCCCACTTTTTGCAACAACACGTTGCAGGTTGTGTGGTGGACCAGTCCGCGATGGCCTGCTTGTGATTGCAGAGTTGGTCCAGAACAGCTGCATGTTTGATGAAGACCATCTTGAAAGATTGTGTGTGGCATGGAACTTGGTATGCAAGAACGTGGAGATGCCACTTTCGTAGGAACTGTTTCAATTGTTGTTGGAGATTGGGAGTTAGGGACCATGGGGCACGGAGTGCCGATGCTCGTGGAGTTTCCTTTCCACCATTTGATGGACGTATCGATTGCATGAAGTGACAGGGTGCGGAAGGGCTCCTGGATGTTGTTTGCCAGACGACGGAGAGCATAGCAAAGGGTGAGACCCCCATCATTGGACCGCAGCATTTTGGTCTGTTCAAATCTGGATCTCGTGTTGGACCCTAAAGCGTGGATGATGGTCCAAAGTTCCAGTCGGTTTTGAAACCGTTCTGATGTCAAGATCTGACGAACAAGTTTTGGAGTGAACTTGTGTTTGGCTCGACGCCATAACGTGGCCAGACAAAATTAACATTTGTGTTCAACGCAGGTTTCTTGAGGATGCCTTTCCTGGGGTGAAAGAATTGGCAAATGAAGGGGTAGTTGAGTCTGGGTTGCCATTCTTGAATGATGGCCATTTCAAGACTGCGATAGTCGGCTCTTTCAGTGTATATTGGGATGGGCGCCCAAATATACAGGTTGTCATGTTCCCGCCAATAGCGTAGGGCAAGCTCAGCTTGTACAAGTCGTTCATTGGTGAGTTGAAGATACTTTCTGGAGCGACTGTACTCCCTGTCAAGGGTATGATGCATAGCTGAGCCTATGTGAAAACTTGGGCTGCATGTTCACAATGTGGGTGAACGGATGTAGACGCTTTGAGACTGGAAAAATGGTGTTGAAAAAAGGTTGTGGGAATGAAGTGTTGATCCCCACAAATGTGTGAGGTCGGTACATTCTTCCAAAATTGACTTCAGCTTCTGGTTCGGTCGAAGACCATGGAATACGGCAAGCACCATCATATACGGGCCTGGATGATGCGAAAGCCTTGAAAAAGGTGAACGCTGTAAGTCATGTTGAAGGGTGTCAAAATGTAGATGATAAGGATCATCGAATGGAGAATCTGAAGATGGGATTGAAGCACTTTGTGCCTAAGCTTTTTGCGAAGCCAGGGAGCTAGTCAATTGTTAAGACTGATAGCTCCTGTCATGGCATGCAGGAAGTTCAACGGTTCAACACATCATAATTTTTGCCCAGGAGGCTAACCGGTATGCCCATCATGACAGCCACTCGTTCGACAGTTTCAAGGGCTGGCATGTGTTGAGCCAGCCATGGATTGACCGTGGCAGGGCAGACCAACAGACTGGAAGGATCAAATGCCGGTGTTGGTGGAGGTGTTGGGCCCGTTGAGTTGTTCATGAGGGCCCGTTGGATAGGTGTATTCGCAGGGCTAGATGCCGATGGACCCGGTCTGGGTGGTGTAGAGTTGTCACCAGGGTCTTCACCTGCTCGTCGGCGTAATTCTGCCAATTGATTCCTGAGCTGGTTGATCTCATGTTGGGAGTCTGGATCAGTTGTGCGAGCTGGCAACCAACGGTGGATGATGTCTGCGATTTGTTGAGCAGCATATTTGGTGTTGTTGGTCTTGTCCAGCAATTTCCCATCCTGCCGGGCTCGGCTATGTGAGACACGGTCCAGGTCGACCCCACGGTTTCTGAGCTGCGTCAAAAGCTCCGTCATAAAGACAACAGCTGCGATCTCCCCCGTAGGGATCAGGTAAACTTCTCGTCCATGGGCCAGTTTTCGAAGCCAGAAGTTATTGGCCTGTTGATACATCAAGGCCGCCAACGGTACCCTTCGATATCCAGCTTTTGAGTGAAAGCTGATCGACTGACGAATTGTCCGGGGGAATGTCAATCCATTGATCTTCTGGTTGTCGTAGTGATCCCTGTCTTCTTGCCAGTGAGGGTTGAGGTCAAACCCGTAAATTCTGGTCGCATCGTGATGGCCAAGGCCTCTTGGTGAGGTCAAAGGAGTTGTTTCATGCAGCCGTGGTCGGGACGAAGGGGCAGAAGGTGTGCCTGGAGAGCACAGTTGTGTTGGTGGACATGGCATCGTCGGTGAGCAAGGTGGAGTGGCTTGGCGTGATGGTGGAAGATATGGCAAGGTTGGTGGAATTGACGGAGGAGGAGTTGGTGGAAACTGATGATTTGACCAATTGGTCTGCATCATGGATTGGGACGGATTCATCATGCGTCCCATCATATAAGATCCCGGCCGGTTCATTGCCCACTGAGGTCGAGACTGAGGGCGCGACATGTTCTGAAAGTGCAAAATCGCCGAGTTCATAGGTCCACGCCATCTCGGAAAGAATGGTAGTTCTGGACGAGGAGCATGAACTTGTCCACGTGGTTCGGTTCGATTCCGCACAGGCGCCGGCGATCGAGAGCGATCAGAGTCAGCCATGTTTTGGCAAACTCGAGATGATCCAGCTAGGAAACTGAGAGTTAAAGATTTCTACAGAAAGAGGTTGTTGCGTGAAAAACAGAGAAGTGAATCAACTCAAACAAGAAACCAAAACCAAAGTTCAAGAAACACGTCACAAAGCAAAGAAGAATGCATAGTAATCAGCAGCAATGTCATCACTCCCAAGCGCAACTTCGAAATGAAA